CGTGTATATATATATATATATATATATATATATATATATATATATATTCTCAACATATAACTCTTCATCGATTCCGTTCTTTCCACCACTTAAACGGGTCTGGAGGTGGGATTAACAATTTCTTCTTTACAAAGCTTGCGTTTCTTGCCCTTTTTCTGATCCAAAAACAGCATTCATATCATTATAATGCTACAAAAATGTGAATCCATAGATTTTTCAATTAAAAAAAAAAATAAAAAATACATGCCACGTTATTTCAAAAATTATATACCACATTTGATATCATCTAAATCATAAAAAAGGAGCAAATGTGTCATACTAAGCATACCAGCACACAGTTATCATGACGGGAAAAATTATCTTCATCGATTTATAAGTATGTAGAAGCATCTAAAAGAAAAAATCTTAAAGAACTATATAGTCTATCAAAGTACACTTTGCCTTTTAATATCATTAGGCAAGTCTTCAGCAGCTGAGGTCTTTTTTTTTTCTGAAATCTTTAACTTCATTTGTTTCGCTCCCTCCCTGAAAATTGAAATAAAAGAATATAAACAAATAAAGCTTCATTCAGTAAGGAAAAAAACGTAGTAGCCGTCCTGACAATAGGTGAAATAGGCGATCGCCTAAACCCCCACTTTGGTGAGTGCCCCAAGTTATGTAAGGTTAATTGGTTGAAAAAAAAAACGAAAATTATATTTATGAAATTAGAATTATCAATATGCAAACATAAGAAACTAATAAAAATTGAAAATACAAAAATCTTTAGAAAAAACATATAAATGACATAAAACTTACTACTTACATTGATTTATCATATAAACATATCACAAACATTACTCTATCCATATGTAATTTGACCATTTATCTTCCAAACATCCACTTTCTTTTCTTAACCAAACAAAAAGGTCTCTTTATCTCTCCAAATTCCACGTCCAACAGTAGCCTACCATAATTTTTTTTTAACCTAACAAGAAATAAATTATCTCACGTTGAATTAAAATTTTGAAGATTCAATTTAACAGATTGATCGGTATCACTATAATTACAACCTTACAGGTTTTTCAATTTCTTCTCTATCTTCGAAGCACATACTACATAGTTTATATGCTGTTATTATTAATGTTTTGCTTAAATCTCATGATAATAGTCTTTTTAAAACTTGTTAAAAGTATTTTAAATTTAATAATTCTTTGTCCGTGTTCATACTTCTTATTTGTAAGTTAATTTAGTATGAATTAATATGAAATTAGAAGCTCATTTT